TGATTGATTGATAAATATGTAAATGGATAGAAGGATGGATGACTGGTAAGTTTACAAGTGGATAGCTAAATGAATGAAAAGGAAGACAGAAAGAAAGAAGGAAAGAATGATTGCCATATCAATAAATAAGTAAGTAGATAGGAGGTAAGATGGATGAATAAATAGATAGATAAAAACGAGGATTGATTGATTGATAAATATGTAAATGGATAGAAGGATGGATGACTGGTAAGTATACAGGTGGATAGCTAAATGAATGAAAAGAAAGACAGAAAGAAAGAGAGATTGCCATATGGATTAATAAGTAAGTAGATAGATGGATGAATGGCTGAATAAATAGATAGGCAAATCGGTCCGTATAAATATAAGTAGAGAGACGGATAAAACTATTAGGCATAAAAACTATGGATATTTGGTTAGACCGGTCTATTGATCGATCGGTTGAGGGATAGAGATACAAAACCATGGATAAACAGGAAAAACGGCATGTAGCCAGACAGAGTTCTATGCGAGAAGAGCAGACGAGAAAACGGCTAAATTGATGGGCATAAACGAAAATGAATATACCCAAAAGCGGAAACATACATATACAGATACTGGGGGGCAAATGTGTATTAATACTGCGTGCGAGAGGGTGAGAAAGAGAGGTGGGTATAAGTGGAGTCGGTCTAGCAGACGGGCGGAGGGGCGAAGAGTAGTGCCTTCCCTTCGACGCCAGACAATGCTCAAGATCCTGTCTTGACTGCCCGACTGACTGCGTCAAGAAGAGCATTAGGACGAAAGCTACTCATTTAGAAAGTAAGTTTGAGAACGATTGGTACTCGATCAATAAATATGCATAAATACTTTCAGTGAATATAACTAGACCAGCATCAATGAGGCTATTTGTTCATACATCCTGAGCGCTCAAGTCTACTTCCAATGAATACAATATTATGTTAGAGCTATAGCATAGGATGGAGAAGAATTGATGGTTCAATGTTCCCTCCCAAAGGGCTTTCTCATCTCGGCTTGACTGTACTGCAGTTTGGAACTATCCAGGTTCTTACAGCGCCCTTAATGGGAGTCGGACCCGAGTCGTGTGTGCGTAAATTGGCGATACGTTACCACTCCACCACATACAGACAGCTCCGAATGACAGTGGGTCACAAGACAGACGTGACTTTCAGGCAAGCAGGGCTTCTATAAGACTCAACTACATTGTAGATACGAACAGTAAATGGGTTTCGATGAAGCCATGGAGGCAACAATGTTAGGGAGACTTTCATTTCGTATGAAAATGCATGAAGAATCCTTCAGGAGGTTGCCACTTTCCTTGGGTCGCTAAGCCGTAATCACCCTAAAATGACAGGTTATAACAG